TGTCACACTTCTAATACTCTGATTGGTATTGGTGCAATATAATTTACAGAGTTACAACCTCAGAAATGAGCAAAGTTTTACTGTAAGTTGGATACAGATGTCTAGGTAATTATTCAATTCTATATATAGTAGGATTTGAACTCTAAACCTCTTGCATAGCAGTCTGGCAACCTAACTACTATACTAAGATTACCAGACCTTATCTGTTGTATATCTTTTTTTTTTTTTTTTGTTGTTAAGGTGGCTTACATTGTCTAAGAAAATTTATTAGAATTGTCAATAGAATTATATATTGATAATCCCTACTATTTGTAATTACATGAAGAGTGTATAACAAGCCACATGTACAACTTTAGTTATTGTCTATTTTAAGTAGTCTGCTGTATAGACATTAGGCCACCCAATTGGTTCTACACTATGCTACCATACCTGTAACTCATCTATGAGTTATCTATTTAAACACTCTGTTCATTAACTCATACAGATCTAACCTAACATCACCGCAACACCTAACTACTTAAGCTAGCTAACTTGTTATGAATTTATTTATTTAAACAGCTTAGGTTCTCTCAGAATACATTATACTAGACATATTGCTAGTACTGCAGAGCTGGTTAATCTCAAAACAAACCTACTAGAGTGGTTTGTATTCATTTTATAGATTTATCTAGCTTAGACTCTTGTAGATGTTTGTACAACCTTAGGTTCTACTGCAGTCTTCTACTAGCCAGTTGACCTAGTCTTTTTCTAGTATTTAGCTAGTTCTAGTTACCCTTTGCCTGGAGACCTCGAAACCTTCTACCTTTATTAGACCAAGTTTTCTTCCTAGATCAGACTTTAGCTGATGTAGTCTTGTCAGAGAGCTGTACTATCTCACTGACTCAGGATTTCTACTATGCAGATACCCTGCCTATATATCTTATTAAGATTTATTCATATTAAATTACACTACATTTTCAAGTTCTGATCAATTTGGTACAACTCAATTTACAGGGGTATGCCTCCAAAAATAGACAAAGTTTACTGTAATATATCACAAGGTTTGAGAAATTATTCAAATTCATCAACAGTGGGATTTAAACTCTAGACCTATTACATAGCGGTCTGACAACCTAACTACTATACTAGGTTACTGGACTTTCTGTTGTATATTTTTTAATTTTTATTTTACCTAATAAATATAAACAAAAAATGAAATTATACTATCTCATTTAAGCTTGAAGTAATATCATATGCAGAATTCTCATCTAATCATCATGTGTCATTGTTTTTTAAGATTGATTGTAGGTGAGTTCAGAAGTGGAGATAGCAAAGACTAGAGCTTAAAGCTATTAAAAACAACTAGAACCTAAATATAAACCAAATGTAGGTACTTAATAGTCATGTTAAAAAGCCAAATATTCTGATTTAGAAAAAAGAACTAGTGGATTATTTCAAAAAAAATGAGAAGAAAAAATTCCTGTTACAACTTACATAATAGAAAAAAAAGCAAAAGAATTAAAGAAAAGCCTAAATATTGAAGCTATGTGTTTTCATAGCTAGATTAAATATTTCAGAAAATAGCATAATTTAGTAGAACATACTCGAACACAAATTACTCAAAAGTTCTCTGAAGATATGCTGTTAGTCATTAATAGATTTCTTTAAATTTTATATGAAGTAACAAAAAATATTAAAAAAAAATTTACTATCTCTTTTGATGAAATACTGATCTGATTTGATATGCTCCAAAGTTCAATATTCAATTTTTAAGATGTTTGTAATGTAGCAATCAGAAGTACTAGAAATGATAAACTATGTTTTAAGTAGTATTAGATTTTACAGCTTCTAGAAAAAAGCTTTTGCTAGCAGTAATCTTTAAATTAAAAAAAAGCTAAAAGGAAAATTTCTACAAGATATTGTTTTAGCAATGGTATCTTGCATGAATATGCAAGCAGATCTAATAATCTCTACTTATATTCCAAAAGTTATTCAAGCAAGATCAGAAGGGTTTTTTAAAAGCAAAGGTATAATTTTTGTTGATAGATATTGTAGTCACATACAAGATAATATAGTTAAAGTATTGAACAAGGAAGGCTTAGATATCTTAGAAATACTTAGTAGTACAACTTGTATTTTGCAACCACTAGACATTTCAGTAAATAGATTTTTTAAAAATAGAATTAGAAAAAAATAAGATAAATAGATTGATGAAGAAAAAGAAGAGTTTACTACAAAAGAAAACTATAAGAAAGCATCATATGAGTTGATTTGCAAATGGGTATCTGATACATAGAAAAGAATTAGTACAAGTCTTTTGGCTAAATCTTTTGAAGCATCTGAGCTTGTATTCAACTCTGATAGTAGTGAAGACTATAAAATATCGAACTGTCTCCAAGCTATTGTTAATAATTGTATAGATAAGACTAATATAGATAAATTGTGTGAAGATGAAGATGAATTAGATGTTGAAAATTTATCAGATGATTAGAATAATGAGAATAATAGCAATAATGAGAATGATGTGAGCAATAACAGTAATTTGACAAATAGTAAGGATAATGAGAGTGTAATAGATATCGATGAAGCAATATAAATTGATAGGTTAGTAAGTAAAGCTTTTTTTTATTTATTATTATTAGCATTTTCATTCTGCTTATCTAACTTTAAGCAATGGTTCTTAACTACTTATTAATGATTATATAACTATAATTTTTTTTTTAATCAGCATTAAAATTTATATTCAATTCTGAACCTAAAAACACATGATTCAAGGCTTAGTCAGCTAAAATAATAGAAATAAATTAGCAATAAAAAATAAAAATAAAAATAAAAATAAAAATGCAAACTTATCATTTCTAGTTCTAATGCCAAAAAGGATTCAATAGATTTAGTATAAATTTATTAAAATTTGTGTATTGAAAGACTTATTTGGTTACAATTTATATAATAATAAACTAGGCTACTAATATCTATACAAATTACAAAATCTGATGTGTTATTAATACAAAATATTTAATATTTATATACAAAACTATAAAAAAGGCATCTTAAATGAGTACTAGAGTAAGAAGTTAAAAGTATTATTATAATTAGAATTATAAACTAACTAATTTATCACATAATTTGGCTTATGATTAGTAGTCACACAATTTATTATATCAAAAATTTTATTATATCAGTCAAGTGAAATATCAGAAAATTTTAAGAGTAATGATTTAATTAATAGATCTACAAGTTGCAGTGCATATGAAATAATTTGATGATTTATATGCTTCCATAATTAATCTAGTCGAGTTATATTTTAACTTGTTAAGAAAATAGACTGAGAAATTATAAGGAAATAAAGTTAGTAATTGAAAAAGTTGTAGAATTATTGAACTAAAAAGACCTCTTGAAACATTTTTGATATTGTATAGAATAAATAAACTTTGATAAAAAAAATAATTAGTAAGGAAAAAACTCAATTCCTCTTCTATATTTTGTTAAAAAAGATAGTTTTTACTTCTAAGTTAATACTTATATCTTATAATACAACTGATATTATTTATTATAACAAAATTTTTTTATTATTTTATATTCTTAAATTATCTATATTTTTTTCTTCTTAAGCATAAAACCTTAAAAGTATCTTGTTTTGAAAATGGCTTTTTGAAACTATTGATAAAATCTAACTCAAAATTTGATTAGTTAATATAACTGATTTATATTTATATAATATCAATATATTAATATATAGCTTTTTTTTTTAAAAAAAAGTTCTTGATCAAATAAAAGCTAACACTTATTTAATTATATAAATTACATTACTGAAGTAGAGAATAAAATTATTTTAAAGTTAGTTTTCTGCTCAACTTTTTTTTATTTATATTTATTTGTTAGATTTTTGAATACTAGAGAAATTCAGCCTCTACTAAAGCTAAAATAATTTGTTAAATAAAAAATTAGTTGACATGAAGTTAATTTTTTTAAATTAATAATCTCTAAATTTGCACTTTGTTAGTATATTGAGATACTGTCAGCCCTCCCCAAACCGATCCTGTCAAAACCGATATCCTACTAAAATCAGTTAAAAATCGATCCACTGGGTCTGTTCCTTAATTCATAACTGATAACCTGCCATTTCTGATATCCGATGATCCAAACATATATGTTCCCGATTTGTCTCACATAATCACATGATTAACAGCCAATCAAAAGATGATATCGTGACACTGATCTATGTAACAGGAGGGGAACATACCTAAAAATAGTAAGTACTTTTTCACGAGGCTTGTGTAGCTCATCTTATGTACTAACGCTAAGCAAACTTGAAGTTTTCGTGTCGTATTATATTAGTTGAATCCCATCCGAATCTACAAACCCTTCATATTACAATTTAAAATAAGCAGATACAAAATTCAAAACTTTTAGAACACTAAATTTCAGGTTGTTAAGTGACCAAGAAAGAAGAAAGTTGAAAACAACGATTTAGCAAAGGTAATCTGAGTGAAAATATTAATTTATAAAATATTTATTACATGTTTCACATAGAATTTTTTTTTTTTTATTTAAGATACGATAATATTACGAGTTGGAAGGTTTGGATTTTATACTAGATAGAGTCGAGTCTAAAAAAAATTATTGTATTAGCTATATAGAAGTTAGCTAATTTATTTGTCAAATAAATAAATTAATAAATGTGTACTTGTCAACTCGCGACAAGTCTAAAACATTTACTTTAAACTTTAAAATATAAGCTTTAAAATTAATTTATTACATTTTGTTTCGCTTTCGTTATCGTTATTTTTTTTATATAATGTGACAATACATGAACATTCATGTAACATTTAACGTTCCCTCCTGTTCTGTGTTCATATACATTTACAATTCAAAATAATTTCAAGAAAGCAATAAGGAGCATATACAGATTACAGGTAAGTATGACTTTATTTATGTTGCATTGCATTTATTACTTAGCGGAATATTTTAATAAAAGGAAAAAAAAAAAATAAAAGAGAAAATAAGAAGCCATTCTTCATTCAAGTAAAATATTGATCCAATCTATGCTGGACTTGCTTCCCAGCTTTCTTCTTCCGAACCTCTTCTCGAATACAGGATTGTAGCTTGCGTAAAGATTTCATTGTTACTCCACCATCATCGATTCTTTCATCTACAATTCTCAAGGCACTACGCAAAATATTCAATTGTTCTTCTCCAGTTAAAGGTGGCATTACGAACTCCTCTCCTATCTGTTCTACTTCTGTCGCAGTTTGAATCAGGTCTTCATCGGTAAATTGGTGGTGTGCTTCTTGTTCTTCTTCAAGGTTTAGTAAATCTTCAATCGGCATTAGGTTACGGACACATAATATGCCTATTTGCTGCTGAAGTTCTTTGACTGTTAATTCATCATTTGGATCAGGAGGTGGGTTTTCTTCTATATCATCAGTGCTTTCAACAATAATAGAGAGGGCAACAGGTACTCCACTTTCATCACGAGGAGATACAACTTTCGTGCGAAACCAACATCTCCTAATCATTTCAGCAGATACTTCTTTCCAGGCAATCTTTGTCCATTTCATAGCCTGCAATTAGTGATACAAGTTAGTAAGAATTTATTTATAACAACTCTAACTTTAAATCCTAACTCAATTCTTAAAAAAAAAAAACTAAAAAAAAAAAAACTAAAAAAAAAAAACTAGAAAAAAAAAAAACTAAAAAAAAAAAAATTAAAAAAAAAAAAAAAATCTAAATTTGGAACGAAACTAGAATGAACCAGAGCAACTACTAAGCAAGTCTGAAGTGGCTCCAAAGTGAACTCAACTCAAGTTGAAATAAGTTGAGAACTAGTTCAACCAAACCCAACCCATTACCAACTCTAACCATCATATTACTACAGTACCTGCAATTGATTGACTTTATATATGTCTTTCTCCTCAGCTTCATCACGATCAATTGCATGTTGAAGTTGTAGGTGACAGTAATGAAGTTTGAATGATGCGATAATACCAGCATCCATAGGTTGGATTTTTGATGTTGCATGTGGGGGTAATATGAGTACTTTTACATTAGTCAAGGTGAGAGCACTAGTAACATGTGAGGAGGCGCCATCAAGGATAAGTAAAATGTTACGATTTGATTCTCTCATTTCATCGTCTAATTTTTCTATCTATTCTTGAAAAAATATGGCAGTCATCCATGCTTTTTTATTATTACGATAATAAAATCCAAGTTCTTCACCTGTTTTTTTTTTGAAACATCTAGGTCTTTTAGAATGACCAATAATAAAAGGTTGAAGTTTATAGGTGCCATCTGCATTGGCTGTAAATGCAATTGTAATTCTCGTACAATTTTTTTTTGATCCTTCAATCTGGCGAGATGCAATTGTACGGTCAGGAGCCATGGTATAAAACAAACCTGTCTTGTCCATATTGTAAACATCACAAAGAGAATACTGGTTAGTAGTACTAATAATAATAGGAAGGTTTAGGTTTATGGCAGTAATGTCAGCAGAACTACTCTCGCCATGCAACTTAAAGTAGCAAAAATTATGCCTTTCTTGGAAAGCCTGCAACCACCCATTTGAAAATTCAGGCTGATTATTTTCGGGGATTTTCATCAGGTCTGCTAATCTTTTTCCCTTAGCTTTAATCATATCTCCATTTAAACGTATAGCCCTATGTTCACATTGTAATATCCAGTTTGTCAAGGCAGTATCTAGCTCAGGAAACATAACAACACGACGTCTTTTAACTTCAAGATCACTTGAAGACATTTTATTAAATTCATCTTTCCGTTTTAAAATATCAGAAATCGTACTTTGGCCCGGGGCTTTTACTAGTTTGAGCTCATTTTTAGCCCACTCTGCAAGTTCCTTCTGAGTAAGTGTTGGATTTTTTTAGTGATAGTCATATATTATTTTCCTTTGATCATTACGCAAATTTCTAGCTAAAAGAACTTTGTCTTTTTTTTTTCCCATTATGATAACAGATATTGGAAGAACGAAATGGTTAACTAATGGTTAACTAATGATTAGAAAAATTATAATGGTGACTTACGATTACATTAATAGCAAGGAACAGAATTTTTAAATCAAGCTATTATTAACCCGATAAGATTTTATTATTTATTATTTTATTTTTTTATTTACAGTCTTTAATAGATACAATTTGATTTATTATTTTAATTTAATTTTTTTTTTTTTTAATCAAGATTTTATGCGATTTGATTTTTTTTTAATTGATCTGCCTTAAAGATTCATATCGATCTTAATTAATTTAACAAATGTTCGAAATACAAACCTTCAGAAGATATTTTGTGCTGAAATAAAGATGTTTAATATCTTTATTAGGATGCCTTATTCTAACTTACTGTTACAATCAGAATTTTTTTTTATTAGGTCAGTAAAAATAATTTAGATGAGTTAAAAATAATGATTTTGCAAATTCTACTTTTGCTTTATCTAATCTGCTTCCTGATATCTTTGAAATATTTGGACAATACAGGTGCATTTTATTCCCGAAGCATTTGATCACATTATTTATTTTCTCACAAATTCGAAGCTAATCTAGAATTTAAATAACATTTTAAGTATATTAATATGTTCTAATCCAGGATAATATCTAATTTGGTTTATCGTCTCTCTTTATTTAATCAATTTCTTTTTTAGTTAGCTTTACAGAACCGGGTTGGCATAAACAGATTCAGCTTATTTCACCAACAATTATTTCACCAGCAGCTTAATTAGCTGATATTGTGCCAGGTGACAATATATCGATATGTCTGTAATTAATCAAATGTTAACTCTAACTTTGTGTGATTTCGGCTAAATAACTTTGGTGAAATGAGTAGCAATGGGCATAAACATCCTTTTTAGGTCATAAGATAAATCAAAAAAAAAAATTCAAATAAAATCAAAAAAAATTAAAAATAAAATAATTATCAAACGGGTTTTTAATTAATTCGGATGCGTGTGAAAAATTTTTTATAAAAAGTAGCTATACATATATGCGCATAGCATTTTAAATATTACCGTTTACTGCAAGATCATGGCATATACTACTAAAACACGTATTATATATACTATAATTTGATTGGTGGGTTATTGTATTTACGTCACGTGACATTTTCAAATCCGATATCCTCTCAAAATCGATACAAAACCTATCCACCATACTTACCAGTTTTGGGAGGACTGACAGTATAATTAGTTTGACTATTAGTATATATCTGTTAAATCAAAGTTTATATATGTAGGTATATTTTATTACCTAGGTTTGTATTTTAATTTGTAATTATAGTTATACAAAATATAATCAGTTTTATAGTAAAAGATTAATAAATATAAAAGAAAAAGAATTAGTAAGTTTGACAGCTCTTTTTCCAAATTATTAGTAATAATAAAACAAATCAGTTGAAATATTATTAGTACAAAAAAAAAAAATCAAGTAATATAATATATAAGAAAAGAGTTATTAGTGGAAGTATTAACAAAAAACGAATTCATTTTTTGTTAATTTATATTAACAAAAAACAAATAAATATTATCTGCTGTATTAGTAATTAGAATCTAAGAATTCTTTACATAATAAACTCGTTTTAGTGAGATCAAACCTACTTGTTAAACAATATAGTAGTTATTATCATAACTAACTCTTGTAAACTATATAACTATATATTACATAAATATTTAATATATTTTCAGTATACATATTCATTGTTTATTTAAAAAAATAATGAGGTAAAAACAATTAATGTTAATACATTTCTGGTGTATTTTATTATTAGGTTAGTACACAACAAAACTATACTCTAAATATACGTATGTAAAATTATATAAAATCTTTAGTTAAAATAAATATTGTATCTTATCTCTTAGATTGTAGAGGGATGCAGGCAAATTTGCCTGCATAATTGCCTAAATATAGTAATGATTTACATTTTTAAAGAT